TCGAAAATCGTACGATCTAACAACTTAATGGGCTACACGTTCAGAGTAATAAATAAATCACGCTACCTAAACAACCGCTTATTTATTAAAAAAAAGTTGATCATACGTACGTATTTATATGACGAAAATCTTTATAACATAACCTTTCACAAGTTACTATTGTGTCGTTTTTTTCTTGTTATATACTGCGAACGGCAACTTTTTGTGAGAAAGCAGTTTTAAAAGACAAAAGTAACATATCTCTAAGTACATATTATTTATTCTTCCCGAGTGTGTTTCGGAGGACAAATTGTGTGTTAAAGGACCCATAGAGAAAGTTAATAGTTTAGAGAGTGGTGAATCGCGTGGTAAAATGTTGGGAGATTGCGCTTTTAGCGCCCTCTACTTGGCTACAGGTACGAACTATGAAAGAGCGGGAGATTTAAATTATTATTCTGCTTATTATTTTTAAGGCATTTAAAACTAAGAGTGCCCTTAACCAAAAACAGTGAAATAAATGGAGATACCTACTCAAATTTTGAGGATATAAATACAGCATTTATAATCCTTTTACACCTTTTTATTCAAAGTTTTACATGTTAATGTAAAATTTGACTATCTCCATTTATTTCACTATTTTTGGTTAAGGGCACTCTTAATTTTAATTTTCCTTTTTTTATGGGAAAACAATTAAATGGGAAGAATTGAATGGGAATGGAAAGAATGACCAATTATTGTATTTTGTATTAATTTATAATACCCCTATTCTACTAAATATCTAGCTACATTGTACTAGTTATATACATATTTACAGTTTTATGATGGCTATTATTTCTTTTCATCGTGCTATCAATTGGTTCGCTCCGACTTGAGTACTATATCTCGAGATAGCTCCAGGAATTATTTATCTTTACAGGCCTAGAATATGAAGATTCACAGTAGAATTTTTGGTTTTACTGCCTATTAGAAACAAACCTACCCTCCTACATCAAGGGACATACAATTATGCCTTGTTTCCTTCCATTCTATATCCAACATCCAACTTAGCGGACCTTCTGGTTCACAACAGGGCCTAGACTGGATGATATTTTAACAGAATAGCCCTTGATATCTCTTTCATACTTTCATTTAATAATTAAATAGGAGAGCTGGATGGTATAATTTCTAGAAAGAATAGCCTGTAAACTGTAAAATAGCTAAAAACTTCTGCATGGACATCACCTTTCTTACCTTTGTCTGCTTTTTTTTAATAAAAAACAACTGTTTAGTTTGCACAAAAATAAAATTAACAATCAAAAATTTCTTAAAAAATGATCAAGCCTTGTATTACGCCGTGCCGGTTTTTGAACAAACAAACAAAAGAATGAGGTTAGCGGCGTTGCCAATGTCAATTTTCTAAACTACCCAAAAATCTAAATTAAATTCGCCAATTTGGGGAGAAAATGTCCGATTCACCCAAAATTCCCCATATGATTATTTTAACAAAAAAAAATAATTTTAATAAAAATACAATATTTATTATATATGTTAGAGAGATTAAACTGTAAATTACCTCCTTGTTTTTTAATCCCTTCCCTAGTAGTCATTAAATAATTTGAGGTCACTAAATTTTCTTTCAACTGAAGCATTTGCAAAGGGAAGCACAAGTAAAAAGCAGATTATAATTTTTAAATTGGGAAAGATATATCGTCCCGCTCCGTTTTTAAAGCTAAAAATTTTACGCCATTTTCAATCAGCAATAAAATGTTGAAACTCCCCTTATTTTCGCCCCCTATTGCTAAAATCCCCACAAAACTCCCCTCCGGATTCCCCAAAATTTGGGGAATTCCCCACAAATTGGCAACGCTGGAGGTTAGCGTGTTCTTTCTGAATATGCTAAGACTAACGGACTAGTGTCGAAACACAGATAGCTAGATAGACGTATTTCGGCACTTGCGTCGATGCGCTACAGGTACATTTGCCTGCGCGTCGTATGTCTTCTGGCAGTCTTTTAATTTTTCTGTTTGTCTATGAAAGGACCGGAGTAGAAGACTCTAACCTAACCTAACCTATCTAATGACAATTTTGTTCTTATTTTGGTTAGGCGCAGAATTCCAGTAAGGTTCTTCTGACAATCTTGATGACAATGATGAGTATCTTACATACATAAGTTCTGTTGTTTATAAACACGCGTTTTATTAAGTTTATTAATATTTACTATAATAAAATGTTTTTATTTGTTGTTATTCTACCGGATGCGTCTCAAAAGTGGCTCATCCCTATAACTTTTTTATTTTTTCAGATAAAACAACGGGATTTGGTATGTTAGAATATGACATAAGAGCCACCCTCGTTCCATTTGAAAAAATTGAGATATGATTAAAAATACGATTTGGGCATCTTTTAACCGGCCAAGACAAGACACTAAAAGTATTAGACGATCAAATCTATTTTTCCAAGGCTCCTTGATTGAAAATTAACGTTTTTAACACAGTCATGGCACTCTATTTATGTCATATACTAACGTACCAAATCTCGTTTTTTATCTAAACAAATAAAAAAGTTATAGGGGTGAGCCACTTTTGAGACGCACCCGGTATAGTAATATTACAAGAAGTTGGCAATTTTAAAAGATAAATTTACAATGAATAAGTAAATTTACTATCAGATACACATTTTTAAATAAATTCATAAAGAATATTGGTGAATATAAAGATATATTACAACATATTTACACACATGCCACAAATTAGCATATTTTACAAATGAGTTGTAAAACTAAAGAACGGATGGTAAATTTACTACAATAATTTGTGGCAAGAAATAATCCTCAATATTTTAAATTCACAAATTCTGATGCTGTAAATCTAAAAAGCAATTAAAAGTGGCGTATTGGGTAGTAACCATATGCAACCATAGGTATATACCAAAATAAAAAAAAAACGTTATTTTAAAACGTTACAATATCAATCGTAAATTACATAGAAACATAGGGGTAATTTGGTTTAATTCTTTATTACTCTGAGCCGGTAAAGACGGAACGATCGGCATTGCAACCGAACGCAAAGCTAAATTACACACTTTTCAAATCCTTTCGTTTCCGATTTTGAAACAGTAACTACTATCATTATTTCGAGTATTTTATCATTAACAATGTTTACTTTTCGTTGTCCAGTACAGGCTTTTTAACTGCAACTAACTTACTACGTAATTGCAAAATAATCGTTTTCACTTTTAATTTCGATGCTATTTTTCTACAATGCAATTGGAGAAAACTAGTTTAGTCTAATATAACTGATATATGCTGTTAACTTGAAGCTTTGCAAATACATATTTGACTGCTTGTTGAGTTTGATTTTGAATAACAATTGACAAAAATGTAACAAAAATATATGCAAATATAAAATGTATATAATACGTGCAAATATTTTCAGGGTTGGTAGATCTCGATAAAAGAAACATACCTATATTTTCTCTTTACCGTTTTTCAAATAAATCCAAAATACCCGAGTTATTCAAGTTTGGAAATTTAAAAAAATAGTATATTGTTTTATTAGGAGTAAAAATGACACTTCCTGTGGTGAGGCTGTACGTTTGACTATCTGACATACAGCCGAGGCACAAAGAGTCATTTTTACTCCGAATGAACAGAAAGAACATGCTATTTTTTTTTTCAAATGCCACAAATATTTTTTTAAACAATTTCAAATGTTCCAAATAATATAAAAAGATTTAAATGTCATACATTGCATGTAATTATATTCGAGAACCTATGGTTACGCTCGTTGAATTTGCAACTTTGTCAGTTTAATAATATTTTTGTACTGTTATGCATAAAAGTGCTCTACTTTTATGCCTAGGCGTTAAAATGACTTTTTATATTGTCAGACACGTCGCAAAAAATACTTTTGTGACGTTTGAAAAAATTTGATTTATTTTTAAAAATTTTGAGAGCCACCGCATTTTTTCTGTAATTGCATCTATTGATCTACTGTTAGTGCCGTAACCATGGTAATAATATCAGAGACGGGGCGGGAAAGTGAAATAGCAAAAGCGGTTCCACCGTTTCCACGGAAATTTCAAATAAAATAGTTCCAGCCTCAGGCGCTAGGTGGTAGTGCAATTAATTTTTAGGTTAAGAAGTTGCTACTAGTTGTTGCCAGATGGCGTTAAATCAGAATTTTTTTGTAGTTTCCATAGTTTCCAACGGCCATTATCATACTATTGTCAAATTCTCAACAAATTTTGTCGTTGTCATAGCGCCAATCATAATATTGTCAAATTATTATCAAAACGCTTTTCAAACTATAATTATTTGTTATATGTGTTTTAATTAGACAGTTCCTTTTGTTTGTGGCCCTAAAATATAATGTAAGTCTTTTATTTTTGCCATCATTTAAGTACCTATTTATATTTACTCAATTTACAAAACTTTGAGCGTATTACGTTGGTCTTGTTTAATTATAATAAACGATGTTTAAATATTTGACTTATAAATAAAAACTTTAAATAATAAATAATACTTACATATGTTTGGCTTTAATTTTATTTATTAATTGTAGAAATTATACTGTTAAATCTTATTTTTTACACATCACAACGATACTTGTTATTAGTATTGTTGAATTTGTGTAAAAAATAAGATTTAATAATCAAATTTAATTATTTTAGAGTAAAATTCAATAAATACGCTCATTTAAAAAGCCCGCGCTTCGATCCATTTAAAACAAGCTCTACTCAATAGATGGCGCCACTTCTGTAGGGCCATTTTTCAGTATGGCAGAGTACATTCTTTTTCTAGCTATCAGAGATTAAGAAATTATACCGTGGGAAAATTTGCGGTAACAGGCAGTTCTAAAAAGTTTTCTAAAATATACAGGAAAATTTAAAACAAAATGCACGATTCTCAACATCTTTTTTTTGCGAAAATAGCCGTGTTCCTGTGGTCGAAATATACCACCCCTAAAAATATTTGCACTTATTTAAAACTCATTCTGTACATTGTATGTATGACTAATATTTTTTTTCTTCTAATATTTCAGATATCATTTTTTGAGATAAAGAACCGCTGCCAACCACTTAGAAAGGCCGAATGAAATCCGAGCACATTCAGTAAGTAAAGAATATTTTTTGTTTATAACATTGAGAATATTAGCTAAGTTCTCCATTCCATTATATTTAAAGGCATTTTTGTCACTTTTAGAGGTTTCTTCCTTTCTATTTTCTTTAAATTCTATTAAGCGTTAAAACTGTAATATGTGTGCGCGCGCTATCTCTCTATTCTGTGATGGTACTTTGACGGTACTAACTCCCTGAAGATAAGAGATAGTAATCGATTTAGATTCGATATTAGAATTTTTTTTTCTGTCTGGAATTTTCTACGTCTGGACATGTAAAAAATGTAGAAAATTAGTTGGTGTAGAAAATACGGCAGAATATATAAATGTTTTTTTTTAAATTGGATTGAAAAAAAAATTAGAATATATAAATTTTCTATCTACCCAACCCTGCTGATGGGATTAACGGATAATGACCATATGCAGGTTTTGTCAATCTGCAGAAGAAAGGACAGAACAAGTCAATGCGACAGCCTGGAAAATCTACGATTCTTTGTTTTAGGCAATGATAAGCCATGATAAAGTTATATGGAGGGTTCAGTGTCCAAGTTGCTTGATTTCCTGGAAAGGTTAGGACTGGAGGATGTAACCTAGAGATGAAAAGAGGACCACAATAGATCTGAAAAGGTCGCAGGGGAACAGGCCGATAACCACCTCAAAAATCTATCTATCCTTATAAAATCTAATTTCATGATATAAAAATAGTTATTTTTTATACAAGACTCGCGATTTCATCGCTCGTGAATTAATTTCGGGAGACGATAATGCAATTTTATCGTCGTGTATAAAACAATATCTTTTTCCATAGCGAGTTAGGTTTTAAAAAATATTCAGAAATTATTATTTTAAGGAATTTATTACGAGTAGAAAAAATATTGTGCTGGATTGGCGTTGGTTTCTATGTAATTTGACAAATAAATAAAGCTGTCTCTTTAGTTGTCAGTTTTGAGTCAATATTTTTTAATTCTCTTTCGTGTCGATTGCTTCAATTGGAGCCAGAAATGGCTCAAAACGAAATAAGTAAATTACCAACAGATATTCAGGCTGAGGCGACAAACTCCATATCCAAACTACTTTCATTTAAATCCCGAATAACTTATGAAAAGGAATACAAAAATTTTCGAAAATGGAAGCAATTAAAAAACGTGCGAGAAGAAATCAGGTGCGGGAAAGTGAAATAGCAAAAGCGGTTCCACCGTTTCCACGGAAATCTCAAATAAAATAGTTCCAGCCCTAGCCACTAGATGGTAGATGGGTGGTAGTGCAATTCATTTTTAGGTTAAGAAGTTGCTACTAGTTATTGCCAGATGGCGTTAAATCAGAATTTTTTTGTAGTTTCCACAGTTTCCAACGGCCATTGTCATATTATTGTCAAATTCTCAAAAAATATTGTCGTTGTCATAGCACCAATCATAATATTATCAAATAAATGATTATCAAAATGTTTTTCAAACTATAATTTGTTATATGTCTTTTAATTAGACAATTCCTTTTGTTTGTTGCCCTAAAAATATAATGTAAGTCTTTTATTTTTGCTATCATTTAAGTACCTATTTATTATATTTACTCCATTTACAAAACTTTGGGCGTATTACGTTGGTCTTGTTTTATAATAATAAACGATGTTTAAATATTTGACTTCTAAATGAAAACTTTAAATAATAAATAATATTTCACATGTTTGGCTTTAATTTTATTTAATAATCGTATAAATTATACTGTTAAATCTTATTTTTTACACATCACAACGATACTGGTTATTAGTATTGTTGAATTTGTGTAAAAAAATAAGATTTAATAATCAAATTTAATTATTTTAGAGTAAAATTCAATAAATAAGCTCATTTAAAAAGCCCGCGCTTCGACCCATTTAAAACAAGCCCTACTCAATAGATGGCGCCACTTCTGTAGGACCATTTTTCAGTATGGCAGAGCCCATTCTTTTTCTAGCTAGGTATATTCTTTGGAAGAAATAAAGTTTTTAACCTATCCTCGCTGTTATCATTTAATCTACCCTTGCGGTTAAAGTACTATTTTATCTACTATTTTTGATAGATATAAGGCAATTTTAACAGTTGCTATATGGAAAAAAATAAATAGACATGTTTCCAGGAGATTCACAAACAAGTCATAGTTAATCAGGCTTCCATAAAACCGTTTACAAATTGCTGTTTTCTCAGTGCAAGCCTAATATGTATAATATCGTCCATTTTTCCTCTTGCTGGTTGTTTTTTGCAACGGACGACTATCAGCGGTAACAGAACCCGTTGGCGCAACCTAGCGGAACGTTGAAACAGCGTCGGTACCGTACGAAAAAAAATGACCTAACCAACACCCGATCGATCGATGTCTAATTGATTTAATGCCGAAGGAAGAGAAAAAATAATAAATATTCAAACTGGAATAACAATCAAGGCCGGCCGCGGTTCAGTTTTTTACGTTTCGAAATTTTTTTGACGATTTTTTGTCGTACACTAATCCACAGTTGTCAGATTAGGCGATTAATTTTTATGTGATATAGATTTATTACTGATTGGCAATAAAAATAATTAATTGGAGATTGACTTTATCCAGTACTTTTGTTCTAACTCAGTCAAATAATATAGGCTTGGTGCATTCTCCGCTGCACACACGGTAAAATGCTATGTTTAGCTTGACAAAAATCCAGATTACGTTTTTTTCGGATGTTTATCCACAAATTGTTTTTCTTATTACATTTGTAGGGCTAATTTTAAATATTATAAATTTTTCCATTCAACTAGAATAGTCCAAGCGTTACCGCAAATTGATGCAGTTCGCACCATAGAATAACTAACTGAAAGAAATGAAAACTCCTATGTTAAAGCCTGGAAACACGCGCTCGACGCGATCCAAGCGGGCTACTGGCAGAACTAAAAGTTCGCGCCATATTTTTAAATGGATCTTTACTGCCAGTTCATAAGTTTTTTACTTATATTTGGTAATTTCAATCTAGATTATGAACTTATTTGTAACAAAACATTTTACAAAATAAAAATAATGTATTTTGATACAAATAAATTAATAATCTAGGTTGAAATTATCCCTGAAATTAGAATAAAACACGAAAAATTTGTAACTTGATTATTTTATTATAACATTGTTAATAAAATTACATATAACACATTCAACACTATACAAGTATATATAAAAGTTATCAGAATTTATACAATCAGTTATAAGTAATTATAAAAAAGGTTATAAATTATAAATAAATAATTTATTATATAAAAGACATATAGTTACCGTGAATATAATTTGGTATAACTTTAATCTCAACTTTAATGACCTATTCAAATAGAAACATCTTACAATTCACATTATATAATACACAAAGCCAAGGGACAAAATTGTTATTAAATCTATTCTCGATGACTCGAAGCATTTTTTTTTTCAAATAAAACAGGACATATAGGGCTTATAAATAATACAAGGGTATAGAAAATATATAAATAAGTAAATACAAATATATTTTCAACCTAATGATTAATGATTATACTCGTTTAAATAAATAAATGATCTTTTTAAAATTACTTGTTTGTCTTTGCAAATTTGTATATTTAATATTTATCTAAAAGCGTACACTGACATAAATTACTGCACAACCTTTAAAATTAAGCTTTTAATGTTATACAAATTCTTGATTCGATATAAATACACTTAAATAAAACTTTAAAATTAATGATCTTCCAAATTTCTGAGACAGCCATTTTGTTGAAAGAATTTGTTTTGATTATGAGAAATTTCATAAAAATTATCACAGGGATTAATTCATCTTATATATTAAACTACTTGGTTTTTAAATTTCACAATCCTATCGTCCAAAATACTCTAAATTCGCAAAAATCCGTAAAATATTCCCATAAAAACAAATCACAATTCACTTCCACTTCACAGAAACTGACAGACATTGCCAAATATGGAATGACGTTTATTTTTCAATCAATAGATCAGTAAAATAAATCTAACTAATCCGGGTCACTTAGAAATTAAATTTTTATTAAATTATTTAATTATAATTGTTTCTGGCGAAAGCAACTTCATATCAATGTTTATTCATAGGGTAACAAAGCACATCACTGTTAAATTATCAACATTTTATATAAATATTTATATTTTTCAACTACTCCAACTACTCCAATTACTCCACAGAGAATCAAACGAATTGTTAATTAAACTATACTCTGTGGATGACTTGATAAAATCATGATGAAATTAAAGTCCCTAGATGAATATCTAGGGACTTTAGATGAAATTTCTACGCAGCGCCATCTATCCCTCTACTGGCAGAAACTCCGCCGTGTTTCCAAAATTCAAATGGCAGTTTCATTCGCCTGGTTCGCACCTTTCATGGAGCGCAAAAGAGTGTCATTTACACCCAGCACAGTCATTTGGATTTTTTTTGTACTGTCAATAATATATGAAAAAAAAGCTTGTAATAAACTTAGAAATTCATAATTTAGAAAATCTGTCTTCTTAAAACTGAAAAAGATCCTTTCTCGATATTACAGGATTGGTATAGAAATTAGTATGACTCCCTGCAAATAAAGGGCTATTTCAAAAAAGGGCAGATTTGGGAAAGCTGTTTTTTTATACCTGTATCAACATACATTAGTATCAGTGATTTTAATTTTATTAAATTAAAAGCGGAACTCCGTGTTATATTAATAAATTAAGGCTGCTTAAACAAACATAACATACTTATACAATATTTATATACTAATTCATTATAATAAAATTAAATAATAAACATTTTGGAATTATTTTTGTGATTTGATTGAGTGAAAGGTTTTGTTCTTAAATATCTACTCTACATATTATAAACGCGTGTTCAAATAGTAATCTTGTGGAATATTATATCAACATAAAACGAGATTTAATTAACGAAATATCATCGTAACAGCAGCTATTTTAGAAACGCCTATGTTTACTTATTTCACCGAGATTTATGAAAAAAAGTCCTTTGCCTCGGGTACA